CTCAAAATAGCCCCACACGAACACAGTAACATAATGAGGGTCCCTACATGCAAAACGAAGCATTGAGAACTTTGTAAGTGTACAGACCGTTTAATAAGAAGATATTTTATAAAGACAGTCCACTTCGTGTATACAGACAGGAGCCATCTTTGGAAAACAGTCTCGACTAATCAAACCACGAACGACGTGCTAAGTCAGCTGAACTGTATGAATGTCGTTCGTGGTTTGATTAGTCGAGACTGTTTTCCAAAGATGGCTCCTGTCTGTATACACGAAGTGGACTGTCTTTATCTTTATCTTCTTATTAAACGGTCTGTACACTTACAAAGTTCTCAATGCTTCGTTTTGCATGTAGAGACTCTCATTATGTTACTGTGTTCGTGTGGGGCTATTTTGAGTCTTGTTAGTGGTATTAACTAGCGATTTCTTTTTACTTATTAAATGCCCCCATTACTAGCGTTATACGCTAAACAGTTTTTAGAGATAAAACTCTTTACATTCGATTATCATGAGAACAAATCTCAGAGAACGGTTGACTAGGTACCAATGTTTTATTAGACCAAAGGTTCATTTTGCGCCGGAGTTCTCCTTTAACCTCGCGCACGAGCTGATCAGTTTCCTCGCTAGAGAAGCGATCAGTTTTTCGGCTTGCAAATCCCGCCATGTAAATAGTGAATCCCCCATGGCGCGAACACAACTGGCTTTTAAGGTGAAGGGGAGATGCGACTCTGGTTGGTTTATTTCACGTTACGCCCAAACCACACCCATTACTCATTAAGAGAATAGGGACCACTCTTTTAGACCATTTTTCCCGTCGTTAAACTAGCAAAAGTGGATTCGGACACGCCATAAGTGCACTTGCGCCGCGCGCTTTAGTTTAGACCATGCGCTTAGATCCTTAAAATAGGGCGCTTGATGTGATACGATTAACGATTGGATTCTGGGGCAAAACAAAAACAAAATAACTTTTGTCCATTGTTAGATGTGAGTTCATGTTAGTTCTTAATGATTCTATATAACTTTATTTTAATAGCCATACAATCACATACAATCCTTCCATGGATAGACTAGAATATCATGCACTTTCCCAACTAATCCTAAACTAACTTTCCTTCACGGAATAGTAAGAAAAGCCCTCTTTGTTCTTTTTATACAGAGTATTTTATTACACACCTCTGCATGAAGTGAGGTTCTCTTATTTTCATTCAAATTAAATGCTACAGATGATTCATTCATTCATAAAATAATTCATTCAAATCAATTATTGAGCGAAATAAAGGATTCACAATTCAAGATCGATACATATGCATCGTCAGGATTTATAATCGATGCATTGAGGACACGAATGCATCGCTACACCCCTACTATTTATTATTTAATTGTTTGTTAATGCAGACCTTATTACTAAAATGGATCCTTTTCACAATTCTGGGGTTCTCAGAAGCTCAGAAACAAGTTGTCAAGTTGGGAACATTTATATAGTGGTGAATGGAAACTCCAGCAATTATAATTTTTCCATTCCCATTTGCAAAAGATAAAATCCACGATAGCATTTCTATGGCTTTCCAAAAGAGGGAAAAAAAATAGGCCTAATCGAGAGAAGAAAAAATATCGTCACAAGAGAGAAATATGTCAAATTTACAGTCACTCCGTCACTTGTTATATTAGAAACACAAAGGAAACGTTTAGTCTTATTAATGTACATAATTTTAAAAATATGAAAAATTTAAATAAATAAAAAACTATTTTTATAAAGATATTTACGGTGTTAATAACCGAGTCTGTGGCACATCATAACAATCTGGGAGTGTTTTTTTATCACAACTTTTAAATGTTTTAAATGTATATGTATATAAATGAATGTATATGTGTGTGTATTGTAATACGTACATGTTTGTATGTCTTTCAGGCTGTTGTTGAAAATAAAAATAAAAATAAGAACTTGTTCTAAAGTGACTTGCCTTGTTAAATAAAGGTTAATTAAATCTGTTCAAAGGGTCCATTGGTGATACTTAGGTTACACCATTTTCTTTTTCTTCAGAAAATATAAATATCTAGTTTTAAAAACCATTGTCTGAATAACACTTGTTGTGGCCTGAATGATATTTGACATTTTCAAGGTTTGAGAGCTCTTAAAAAGAAAACGTGTGTGGCGTTGACAATAAAAGCAATGCACTTTAATCACCCACTCCTCAGTTTACATAAAAATCCTTGATTTGTTCAGTTCATGCAAGGCCAAATGCAGTATTTGTGACTCAATATATTTCCTGGAGTGAATCAGAGAGCGAGTGACAGTTTCAAGCCAGAGTAAAGTACAAAGGTCAGGAGGATGTGAGCGGCACAGCATGTGTTTAATGGTTAAATTTAAACCAGCTATTTCCCAGTGATCACATTATACACCTCGCATAAACAGCGAATGTCCAGACACATGCTTAAAGGATATGTTTTATGTGGCTTAAGCACAAGAATGATCATGTTTGTGACTATATTGTATATCGGTATCTTTTTAGCAATCACAGTAACTAAAGACACTTCCCACATTATGAGGGTTTTGTGCTTTTCCAGCAGGAAATTCCTATAGCAAAGACATTTACAAGTGCAGCTTGGGATCACGTTTCTCATCGGAGAACTATTCTACACTGATTCATCAATGCACTATATCTATATGACAGTAAAACCTCTCGTGGTCTATGTAGTTACAGAAGGAACTGATTCATTTTGATGTTTTTCAATCTACTATGTAAGACACGAGAGCAATGAATATCAAGACAAGGAAACAAGTTAAAACTGCTCAATGCACCAATTAGAAACTACTGTCAAAAACAGTGAAACTGGAACAGACGCACATCAGATGTCAACATTTGCCACCAGTTAGCCAGTAAAGCCGAAATACTGAACTAGTTTAGGAACATATGCTCATTAATAGGGTCCAAATGAGATTCTGCTCCTTCTCGTGTGTCCTGTGTCATGCGGTGAGTCGCACTCAAAGACCACCCATGATTTCTTTACATATTTTAGAAGTCTGCCTAGGCGCCAAAGTGTTAGTTTTTATGGACCTCACTCACATTATAGATGCATATTTAATTTGATGCAGATGAAAACGAGGCTATGAGAACATGAAAATTAACCATGACCTAAAGCCATAAAGACATTGGGCCTCATTCATGAAACACGAGCTGAACGAATTTTTGTGTAAATCATTCGTAAAACCGCTTTGACGTAAATTTTCGGATTCATCAGTGTTCGTATTTTTAAAATGTTAGTTGGTACGAAATTTACGCGCATAAGTGGTACGTAAAACATTAAAAAACTTTTTTTTTGATTTAGGCAAACTGACGACACTGAATTCTGATGACACTATGTACCATATTAATATTTCATGTTTGCCCATATAGGTAATCTTAACTCTTTCCCCGCCATTGACAGAATTTTCCGGCTTTCTGTGTTTTCACTGTTATACGGTAGGGGGCGCTGTTACACATCTTCTGAAAGATTACTGAATCTCCTGATCAAAACACAGGAGAAGAAGAAGCAGAAACAAGCGATATCATGTGTAAGCAGATGCATATGTAAAATAACGCGATCGTCAACATTAAACCGCATATAAATAAAAACTGCCCAATGTTGCTGAATAAAATGTCGACCCATTTGGGGTGTGGATGGACTCGATCTAATCCATCTGTGTTTTGATCATCGTTCTGAATTAGATCTGGATGTACTCATATATTTACCAAGCAGCAACCTTACGTTATCTCTATTGAATCCCACACGGAAGTGACTTAAACTGCACTTCATCCACTGGCCACTAGAGACAGGCTCTAAAAGAGAGTCAATCCCATAAACCTCCATGTTAAAATGCCCAACTTTACAGCAGAAAAAAAAAAACATGTTTACAGCCTGGTACAAAAAGTGTTTTTGGTCTATAATGCTAATTTTGCCCTTCATGACGACTGTGAGGCGGGTGAATTGTTTAATAACTCATCCGTTTAAATTATATCAAGCTTTAAAGTTGTGCATAATTAAGGGCGTGGCCACTTGAGTGACAGGTGGACTGCCACTGATGTCACTAGCCGTTTGTCTGCTGTCTGTTAGCGTTACGTCACCTCAGCTAATCCGCCTCTGCCTATTTCCGGTTATCCGGGAGTGACGCGCGACCAAGATGGCGACGGCCGGCTCCGCCTACTTTGGGCTTCAAAAATGCTCTTCAGAAACATACGGGTGACATACCTACGGTATTTATTTAGTCTATGATATTTACAAAGTTGCATGGAGGCCCATAGAGTGAATTTTGAATCACAGTAAAAGGAGACCTCACCACAAATTAAATGTATTTCGGAAAAATATGAGATTGAATAAACAACAGAATTTTACCAGTTTTTACCATTTAAATATCCCATATTTCCTGAGCTCCTGAACCAAAAATAATTTTACTCTTATGTCAATAACTCGTAACTAAAGTCAATTTAAACTAATGTTAATATTGAGCATAAAAGATAATAAAATACCTTGTGTTTGGTTTTGTGATATACCACGCAATAGACATTTGGCAGGTCTTTTGCAGAGGCAAATGTGAATGAATATGGATTTGTTTTGCAGGCCCATGGGGCGAACAGGAGTGGCAATGTTAGTTTAGGCTGGCTTCATAGTCTCCTACAGATCAGAGCCTAACTCAATAAAAAAGAAACAGCAAAGTCTGCCTTTGGTGATTAAACTGTGATGAAATAAAATAAATGAACACCAGATGAGAAAGAATGCAAGTCCCAGGAATAGCTTCTGGAAAGGCAGGGATCTACATGGCTCTTTCACACACTCACACACAATTGACTGACTGTATGGTGCACATTGTGGCAACCACCACACACACACACACACACACATATGGAGGGAAGGTCAAGTGGAAACAGGCAGAGGGTTTTTCAATCAACAAGCTGCTAAATACAATTGCAGATGTGAGGAAGATAAATAGAAGAACACACTGGCAGTGATCACGTTGTGCTTACCAAAGTACTCAGCCTTTGGCTGGACGTCCATCTCCTTTTCCAGGCGCTCAGTTAAAGCTTCTAACTTTATTTCAGCCACAGACGGACCCTGATCCGGCTGTACGTGGAGGGGCTGGCACGGGAGTCTGAGTGTTCGGGAGGGGCTGGAAGACTCATCGTTGGGAGGCTCGACTCCTGATGTGGGAGCAGGGATTGTCGGGATACTGGGCGCAGTGTTTTTGGGTTGGAGTGGCTCACATTGCTTCCCTCCATGGGACATTGGAAATGGGGTCACTTGGGTAATGTTATGACCTGCCCCGTTTAGGCATGTTGGTCCACTGGATGACCACTGGGGAGTTATGGGTTGACTAGCGCTAGCTTGATGATATGAATCCCTGTATGTTCCTGTGGGTGATTTCCCTGATGTAGCAAAGGTTTGAGGAAAGCCTTGGGACACTGGAGAATGATTCGGACCAGCTTCATGAGAGCTAGAAGTGTTGGAGAAAGGAGATAATGGCATCTGAGACGGGTGACCGCTTTTTGATGCCCATGTGCCAGGAGGACTGGTTGATGGCGATGCCCGGGATGGCACTGGTATCGGGTAAACAGCATTTCCAGTCTCCTTACTGTCATAACCCCTGATACTGGATCCATCATGTAAGCCGGCTGAATGATGTTTTTGTCCTTCATAGGATATGTATGGAGTCACATTGGCAGTGCCAACCATTGGTCCGGAGATGATGGGTGGTTTCGCTGCTGCTTCACCAGCTTGTCTATAACTATTGATGGGTGGCCTGTCTTTGGTGTATAATGTGTTATCTGACACTTTCGGATGACTTCCATTGATCCTTGCTGCTGGCAAGCTTTCATTTCTTGATATCTCCTCTTGCTGCTTTTGCATGTGTATTCTGCTCATTTTTGAGGCAAAAACTTTCCTGGTTTCTTCAAAATCCGGGTTGTTTCCTGCATCTCTCTTCACGCGAAATAAGCCGTCCTTCGATGCTTCATACATATTCAAGTCCTCGATGAATTTACTCGCCTCAAGTCCCAAATCGTCGTATTTATCCATGTTGGAAACTGGAAACACACTCAGAAAGTAAGTTTTAAAACGACTTCTGTCCGTTGAGGAGTTAGTCAAACCATTGAAGATGGAAAACTGATGGGGAACAGCTGTTCAAAGTCATTTACCTGTATAAAAAAAAGAATCACTCAAACTGCAAAAAACACGTGAAGAGTTTGTTTACACACAGATTAAATCCACTAAAATAGCCGACGCGCAAAAAATAAGCTACTCCGTTAAGCGAACAATCGCGACGGGAAAGCTATTTCAATCTGTCAGCCTCTGAATAAAAAAAAAAACTAGAAAAACTGAAGACAGCGACAAAAACAGAAACTCTAAAGAACTAAAAAACAACTGACTGTAAAGAAAACTATAGAGCAAAACTGCGCTAACTTTCAGTTTAAGTCTACCGAAACCCGACCGATAATCTTAAACCTGTACGAGAGCTGGATGAAACTGCTCCTTTAGGGAACTCTTCTCCTCAATGAGAGAGAGATTGAACGACTCCCGCCTCCGAGCTGCTCTTTGCTCGCGCCCAGTGTGTGTGTGTGCGCGTGCGAGTGTGTGAATGAAGAAGCGCGAGACCAGCTGTGCAGTTCACGAGCGCGCTGAGAGGAAAACACACTACAGCGGGGTTGAGTTGATTCTCACGGATCCCCATGATACATATTCATTATCAGTCTTTTGGGGTTTGGAAAACGCTTTTCGCTGTTTAGAAAGCTTGTACTTGAAAGAGTACGTGTAACTATCGTGCGGTTGCGTAGTAATTTCACATGATTAAAGTAGGCTAGGCTAGAGAATTTGCTCACCACAAAACACATGGAAATAATCCAGCACTTCATTATATAGAATTTGACATCTAACGTTGATTTTGAGATGTTACCCCAACAGAGGACAAACAACAACAACAAAACTCCTGTGTCGACAAAAATGCCGGGTTGTTTTCAACGACAAACCACCGTTGGGTTAAAAATTGTAATTAAAAAATGTAAACCGTTGGGTTTGCCCATATTTGACCCAAACATGGGTTGAAACAGCCCAGCATTTTATGCAGCAGTGCATAAAGGAATTAGCCTTGTTTATTTATACGTTAATTAATCAGGGCTGCCGTGCTTGTCTTTCGAACAAGTAAATTGGTCATTCACGTTTCTGAGTAAAAAAGTTGCTTGTCCGGGAAAAATCGTTTTTGTGTGTGTTGTAGCCTAAATATAATTGATTCTAAAGCAGCCTATATCATCAGTGTCTGCTTTGCAATATTGAAAAACCTGCATTATATTAATTTTTACTATACCCAAGAGCATTTTGTTTACCTTTATAAAGTGTTTATTATAGGCTACTTAAATTTGATCAATAAATTCAATTAGAAATAAGATAGGGCTGTTACCAATCAAATTAAATAATTTAGCCTACACTGAAAAATTACAACTGCGGTAAACAATGTTATGAGATTGTTTGTAATATTATGAGATCTATTTTTTTTTTTTTTTATATATTTACAAATAAGAAATGTTGGAAAGAATGATACTTTTAAACATGAAACTAAACCGCTAGTGGTGGCGTCAGGTGACCGCGTTTATGATTGAGTCATTTATTCAAACGATTCGTTCAAGTGGCTGATTCATTCAAGAATGAGGCAGTTATATGAACAGAGACATAATAAATACATGGTAATGAATGGGTCATTGAATCTTTGACTCAACCGATTCGTTCAAAACGCTGCATCATTCAGTAATGTACCTGACTCAGACCTGACTGTGCGTTCGGTTGTACGCGCATGCGTGGTATCAGCTGCTCGTGCTCATCATTTCTCTCAGCACAACATGTCTCAGTTCAGTGAACTGTTGGATTTACTGGGGTAAAATATACTCAAGGATATTGGTTGATTTCGATTCGGAGGGACTGTCAGGCATGTCTGAAAGTGAGTAAGTAGGCTAACTTGTGGATTAGCGCTGACGCAAGGTAGCCTACTGGTTCGACCGTTCACTAAAAATAACCGGTTCAAAAGAACGATTCGTTCACGAACCGGCCATCACTAATGAAAACGTGTGTTGTTGCTTAACTGTATCATTATATAGCCTACAGTATATGCCTAAATAAAACCTCCATTTTGAGCACGCGCCTCAACAACAGTGTAACATTGCTACCGTCAATCTACATTACTATCCAATCTCAATCGCCACTTACACTAAATTTAATTAAAATCAGATTCATTCGCACGTTTAGGTGATTCCCTAGTTATTGACGTTTTAATCAGGATACTTCGGTCAATTTGTAAAATTCTCTTTCATTTGCCCCTTCAAATAATCCACTTGTAGCGGACAAGCGTTAATGTCTGGCCCTGTAAATGAATTAATAAATGTTTTTTTTATTTAATTACATTTTCATTGTTTTCACATTTAGTTCCAAAAATGAACGTTTTGTCATAATTTATTGACCCACCTCGTTCCCAACCTGAATGGCTTGCTTTCTTCCAAAGACCACAAATCATGGACCTTGCCGAGCTCCAAAAAACAAAACAAATTTAAAAAGCACTGTAAACCACATGCTGTATAGTCCAATTCTTGAAGTCATTTGATCAAAGTTAAGAAGTTATTCACTGACAATCTTTCCTCTTATAGCTTTCAAATATCATTAGCTCTTCTACATATTTTAGCTTGGCACTGATAGACCTAATTTTACTCATCCACTATTGCAAATTAGCCACCCAAGTTAGTCTACCAATTATTTAATATAACAACTTGATTTTTTTTTTTAAATGATTTATTCAAAAGTTGGACTATTTATTCAACTTTTGTCATATTGCTGTTGTTTTTTTCTCGTTCAGAACATAAGATTCACATCGCATGCCTCATAATGTAAAAGTGCTCAAATACACACAATTCACATGTGTATGGTAGTTCACTTGGAGGACACATCATCATGACCTCATCGGAAGACAAAGTAGCCAAAGCTCCAGAACAAACTATGATGGTGTGAAGAGGAAAGTGAAGTGATAGATAACGGCACTCATGTGATCAGCTCCACAAGCCAAACATTCCTGAAGCAACATTATCTCCAGTGTGAAGAGCGACAGAAACGCTTTCCCCTATTAGCACACACACGTCAACACAACATACACTGACACTTTAACAGTCTGAATGTCTTTGCATTGTTGGGGGAGCTTCTCTGAAACTAGTTTGACTAGCGATTTACTCATAAATTAAATGTGTTAAGATAGTCACGCCACACTTTAGAAACAGCAAGCTACACTACAAGTTACTTTCAAAAGTAGCTAGCTGCATTGAAAATTCTTTACAATGACATTGTACATTACAAATGACTGAAGAATTATTTTGAGTTTCTTTTCGATTGACAGATGCTTTGCCAAAGCAATGGCGTGTGTGCTCTTTTAGGTTCATTACAAAACTGTGGCGGGAAAGATTAAACTATGACGGGTCATCATAAAATCAGAAATAGACATTTGAGTGCAGTAAAGCGGGACAATTAATCAATTTAAAAGGCTATTATTCACCTGTATGTGCTTGAAGTCTTCAACGCAGACTGCATTTTAATCTTTAGCTTGCATAAATTACATACAATGTAACCTTTAATAAGTCGATTCAAAATAACAATTGTATGTGCTTAACATATAGGGTAAACACAATGTAAAGTGCTACCAAAGCTATTTCTAAGCTTAAATTATCGTCTGGCAAGTAATAATCAATAATCTGATTCTTTAGAAAAATAATAACACTCCTCTCCTCAACAAGTAACATGATTTAAGGAAACAATACAAAGAGTTGTGCCAAAGTTTAATACTCAGGCTTCAGGATTTGTTCACATTTTCAAGGTGCTATGTAACTTTTTCACTCTACTAAAGCATAAAAATACTATAATATGTTTGTATATATATCATGCTAAGTTCATATCATACATACCCGTTTCTCTGAAAAGCACTTCTACAGCCAGTTATTTTACTTTGAAATGTGTGTTTCCAGGCTGGAATGTTTGTTATTGTTTTGGTCTGTGATACTCTAGTTGCCAATTTACCAATTTTGATTGTCCATTGCGCCCGTTCTTGTTGAGTTTGCTAAAAATGGCGACCCGTGTGAGCGTCGAGTCGGAGGAGGCGGGAGAAACGACGATCTCCGACATTGTGAATTGGACTGCAGTACCTATTTCAACCAATAGTCATTCTGTCATTCTTACAGGGGGGCCTTAGAAGTCGCCGAGCTCAAGTCAAAAGTGCATCCATTCGGACTTGCGTCCTTGGTAGTTCGGACTTGCCAAGTTCGACTCAGGAGAACGAACTCCCGAGGACGAGAGGACGTGAGTCCAGTTATTCTGCAAATGGAACAGTGCGTTCTTGATCGCGTCCCTCAGCTCGCTCTGACTACTCCGGTTATCTGTTTATCTATATTTTAGGCAACAATAAAACGAAATGCTACAACTCTGCCTCTTTTCGTCAACAATAAAACGAAATATGTTATAAAACACCACTCTGCCTCTTTTCATTTAAAATTCTTAAACATAGTAGCCTAATGGCCATGTGGTTCAGGCAATGCGTAAATTATCTTCACTGCATATATTTATAACAACATGAACATGATCTTTTTGTTTTCATTTTAAAAATATGAAACATTATTGATTTTTATTGACATTTAACAAACAGAGACAGGGTTGTGTCATTTTATTTTATTGTACATATAGTGAAGAGAATGTAAAAAATAAATATAAATACATATATTAAAGTATATAAAATAAAATTACACAACCCTGTCTCTTTTTGTTAAATGTCAGTTTTAATGATCAAAAATATCTACAATGATAAACAAGGCAAACAATTCAAACCTAAGTAAGCTCTCTAATAGGCTACAAAGTTAAAGTTAAGCCTAAATATATAAAGTTATGAAACTTCACTTTGCTCTCAGCCAAAACGATTTTTTTGCCATGGAACAAACAATAGTTTAATGAGACCAAAGATCGACTTATTGACGAATTATACGTCAAGTTTATCCACTAGACTAGAGACATCAAAGCCAGCGGCAAACGTCAGAAGCACTAGCCGAGGAAAAGCTGTTCCAGTCGGGGTTGATGAGCGTTGAACACCCGGTGAACACCTGAATGTCACAACTCCGAAAACGTCAGATACATTTTTCAAATAGGCGCTAATAAACCACAGATTTGAGCTTTAAACAACCAATTTCTCGCCTGAAACACTCTTAAAATTACATTTCATGACACAATAACAGTAGTATTTTGATATTACGCGGGTTTTCTCCTCTGCTATTGACGCTTGCTGGTTGGTGCGAGATGCATTCTGGGATACCCGGCTGTCTCAAGTCCGCACAAGTCACCTCTCGATGCATCCTCGGTAAACGGGGCGGATCAAGAACACATCCGGGGATTTGAACTGGACTTGGCTAGATGTGAACTTTGAATTGGAACAGTACTTGGGCAGCGACTGATGACGTTTCACAAGAACACAAGTACAGACAAGAACGCATATTGAGAAACGGCCATTGTCTTGACCAGGACCACACCCCAAATGCATTGAAGCAACTGCCATGTGATTGGTTGATTAGATAATTGCATTAATGAGAAATTGAACATGTGTTCCTAATAACCCTTTAGGTGAGTGTATGGTCAAAAAAGACATTTCTCAAAATATCTTCTTACTTATTTTCAAGAAGAAAGATAGTCCTACTGGTTTGGAATGACATAAGGGTCAGTAAACGATGTCAGAAAATTAACTAATAACAGAAACAAAAACATGAACATATAAGAGACCACTAATATGAATACAGTAAGTAACACAATACAAAAAGACACAATGCACAGGAAATGAATACTCTAAAAATATCAAGTTCACAAGTCACGTCATCTGGGACAAAAAAAAACCTTCCTCCTTTTAAAGTCAGCACATTTGAGGAATGTGGGACTTCTGGGAAATTTTTCTTTAGGTTTCATTAGTGAGTCACTTAGATAAGGCCATAAGGGACAGCAGTGGGGATCAGTTTCAGACTGAGTTATGTGTGGCTCCTGACTAACATGGCGAACAACAGAGGTACTGTCAGGGAGTGTCCCAGGACGTCAATACCCTGAGGGAATAACACTTCGTGTGACATGAAAAGCTTCCTTTATGCCAGTTCCCAACGTTTTGTTCACTCAAGTGCTGAGAAACATATTCTCTGATGCATTTGGAGAAGGTCAGACCCTCAACATATAAAGCAACCCAGTGGAAACCCGTTTAGCACGGCGCTAACTCGAGTGCGGTGTCAGTGTACGTTGTGTCATTGGGTTGGGCGGCCGAGACTAAGAAAATGGGGCCAAATGACTCCAGTGTTGAAATGTGATGACTCAAGTCTCTCCGTTCGCATTTCCAAAGGGAATGACGGGCATTGCTAAAGCAGTCTGACATGAGGACCTCAGACCTCATACTTGAAATTAGAAAAAAAGATTGAATTATTAAATCCTCCAATAATCTTTACTTGATCACTTTGAAAACTATTTTTTTTATAGTGTACATTTAATTATTTGTGTAGTTGTAATACATAATATATTTTTCACTCAATTTGTGTCTTGTGTTTTTAATTATTTCTTTTTGTATACTGGAAACATCACCAAAACATTTGTGTGTGTGTGTGTGTGTTTATAAGCATATTTGGCAATAATTCTCATTCAGGTTCTGAAAATGTTAAATTTCTTTGAAAATTGAAAAATCATTTGCTCACCCTTGCGTTACTAGTTTTGGTTAGAAACATTTCTTAAAATCTCTTATTTTATGTTTCACTGAAAGAAAAAAGTAATTTTAAATTTAAAAGTCATAACTGGATCTTCCAGTGAAAATTAAAGATGTATGCAGGATTCTCCAATCTTTTAGTCCCCTTAAACTCAGACAATTTCTTTCAATCCTTAATAAGTCCCACATTTTATGTTTTTTAATAAGCCGTTTCACTCAGATGTACGTCACACTACTTCCATTGCATCTTGATTTCAACATGCATGTGCATGATCTGAAACGGGAAGTTTTTAGTTATTGCTGATTTGGCTTGTTATTACAGTATAGGCTTAGCAAACAGTTTTGAAGATTTTTGCCTATTCAAGAAGATAAAGTACAAACTTGCTTGACATAACCGAGCATAAACTGGCTGCTTACACCGGACCAAAAGCTCTGATGGATAGATATACGCACTGGATGTGTTTTGGGAGTGTGGTTAGAGCAAGAAAACCAAATTGTGAAAGTAATTCTTATTGGTCAATAGATTCCTCATTAGAGTGGTTCACATCAACAATTTTCTTAACTTTTGTTTGCATGAAAGTGTAGCTTTTTCCATTTGATTTTCTGAATCACTGTAAAAAAAAAAAAGAAGAAAAGTGAATGTGAAACCAGACTTCATTCTCCCCAACGGAAATAATATTTACACTGTCTGAATCGTTCCCTATCCCCTATATAGTGCACTATGAGCCATTCACTATGTAGAAAACAGTACATGTTTGACTGATTTCACCCGCAGCTTCAGCGTCTATTTATAAAGTAGGGGGCGGAGCTTCAGATTCTAGAGAGCATTTGATTGGACAGAAAATCTGATGAGAAGCTGAAGTGCAGAGTGATGTCATCAAAATCATTGATCCATATTGGCGGGAGTGAGAGACTAAGTTTCGAACGCTTATATCTTCTAAATGTGAATTTTGTCATTGTTTTAGAGCACACTAGCTTATAGATAACAGTAATGCTAACATATTCATACTAAAAGCTAAAAAAAACCCTCCAATTATTTTGATTTCATGGGGACTTTAATGTAATAATCTTTTTTTTGTTGTTGCAATGATGCAGAAAATCAATGCAAAAAGCTACACTTTCATGCAAACAAAAGTTAAGAAAGTTGTTGATGCAACTCTCACTAATGAGGAATCTATTGACCAATAAGAATCGCTTTCACAGTTAGCTCTTCTTGCTCTCTGATGCGGTCAGGATGAGACGTTAGTTACGAGACCCATCAGGAATCCCACTGTTGTCTCTATTTCTGTCACAGGTGGTGTAATGTCAGGCTAAACCTGTGCGTCCAGAAATAGCTCGCAACAAAACACTCACGGCTGGCCTGACTGAGGTGGGGCTGGTACAAAAAATGCATCCCATAAACCCTGAAATCATCTAAAAGCTTCTTTATTTAGTAGCTATTTTCCTGACGTGGCTCTTTGGATTTCAGAGTCTTTTTCATGCCTGGATCCCAGACTCCAATAAGGCACATCTCGCCATGTTATTCGTCCAGCAGAAAGTTGATGAGTGCAGTTCTGGGTGAGAGGATGACTCTCTTAATAACGCGGTCCGAGAGAAGACGGGCGCCCAGAGGACTCTTCAACACCAGATCCTGAACCTTCTGTGCGTCCTGGGCCACTTCACGAGGAACAGATACACTCCCACACGCCTTATTATTGATCTGAGGAGAAAACAGACAACACTGATGGCATCTGAAGATACATGCATTTCATACATGTTATTTTGAGCTGAAAGTACGGTGGCCGAGAGAGCTCAGCGCGCTGCAACTGAAGAAAACACACGCAAATAGAGAAAACATCTCAGTTTCACAACAACAACACATGTGTGCTCCAAATACTCACAACACCACCCAAATACAGACCACAACGGAAATGTTTCCAGGGGACCCCAATAAGTGACGAACCCGGCTGGGACGTGCTTATCATAGATATCCATAATAAAGGCTAGATGTCTCGTCCGCGCTGCTGGCCAATGGAGGTGGACGTCCGCACTGGCGGCCATCTTGCCACAGGCAGCTCGCTCACTCCTAACATTGTGTTTTAATGGTGCATGTACTTTTTAAACAACCATAACTTGCTCAATTTTCTACCGATTTTCAAACAGTTTGGTTTGTTATAAACGTCAGAGATGTAGTTATGACACTGCATACTTATGAATAATAAGTGTATAAATAAATAATCATCCAGAGAATTATAGCCACGTTAATAACGTTTGTAAGAAACCAAACCGTTTGTAAATCCGCCAAGATTTCAACGAGATAAGAGTATTTGTGTTCGTGCCGATCACTCATCTTACATCAGGCACCACAGAGCCCGCCAGAAAGCTTGCCTGTGACAAGATGGCCGCCGGTGATGACGATAGAGACTCCGCCGTAACACATCTAGCCTTTATTATGGACATCTATGGTGCTTATAGCTCAAAGTCTACTTTATTGTATTTTATTTTTATTTTTTTTTACTTTTTTTCCCCGTGTCACTCCCATATAAATCGCAAAAAATTTTTTTTACGCTCGCATGAGGTGGTTTTTCAGGCAATTCGAAAAAGGAATAATGGAAACTGTTTTTCCGTGTTTACAGGTCACCTGGTGTACGTAAAAGACGTTCATTCTTTAAAGATGGCGCGGTGTGTTTGGACAGAAGATGAGACACAGTTCTTCATTAAACTCATAAAAGACAAAAGTATTACGGGAATACTGGATTCTAAACAACAAAGGAATGCAATGATTTATCAAAACCTTGAAGCAGATTTGAGGGAAAAACACCTCATACGGTTTAATGTGCTTTCCTTGCCATTAATGCTGTGATAACACACATACGTCTCCTTCCATTAAAAAGAAAGGCTAGTGCGGTGGCTGGGATATACATAAACCTACTAACATCCATCGCCATGACTTTTGGAATGACTTATTGCAAGGAAAAATGGCGTTTTAGTGGCATTACATTGGTTTATTGAAAACACCGTCATTTCGAAATAGTTTTTAATCAACATTTAGAAAATATAGCAGAAGTTTTGCACAATTCTTTAATGGAAACGGGGCTAATGACATTTACTAAAGAGTAGTGAATAGTGCAAAACTAGGGAATTTCTAGGGAATTATTTGCCCATTGTTTTTTCTCAATGGCCCAACTCAAAAGAACTCAAAGTCTCTATGATATTCTGGTCTTCAGAAGTTAGTTTGTTCATTTAACACCACAGGAATAATAATAATAAAAAACAATTGTTTATAATAATAAACATTTTCTTTCAAAGTAATATATTTATTCAGGAAGGATGCATTAAATTGATCAAAAGTGACAGGAAATACATTTATAATGTTACAAAAGATTTCCATTTCAAATAAATGGTGTTCTTTTTGAATTCCTATTCATCAAAGAATCCTGAAAAATAAAATGTATCACAACCGTTTTCAACATTGATAATAAGCAGAAATGTTTCTTGAGCATCACATCATCATATCAGAGTGATTTCTGAAGGATCATGTGACACTGAAGACTGGAGTAATGATGCTGGAGATTCAGCTTTGATCACAGGAATTTTAAATTGCAACAATATTTCACAATATTGCTATTTTTTTACTGTATTTTGATCAAATAAATGTAGCCTTGGTGAACAGAAGAGACGAATGCCCGGACTTTAGCACACCATATACACACACACCCTGCCATATGTATATACTGTTAAAGGACAGTTTAACAACGTGTAAATATGAATTATAAAGCAAGGAGTCTGTATTTATAATGGAAAATTGTAGTGCACCATTTGGGAGGGGGAAAAAACGAGGCAAGAAAGAGGAAAATCTCAAACCTTTGCAAAATCACACTCCAAAAGTTCAGACAATTGCTATCAGAAATTCAATTTGCTCTACTCCTTAAAATGCATATTCGCCAAATGCTCCGTCAGAGACAAAATATTGGTAAAATGATCTAAACCAGACGTAGTTTTAGTTTATCAGCTGATATATTGTGTGTTCGAGTGCTTATGGTGTATCATGGGATGGATCCCTTCGAGGGTGGATACCACGCTTTCGTCTGCTGTTAGTTTTGTGTGTGTGTGTGTGTGTGTTTGTGAGAAACACAGCATCTGCTCCTCAGTGTCTCTGTGGTGAAATTAAACGCACACATACAGTTGGACTGCATCATGGGAGAAAAGCAACCCTGTTATTACAACTCCCAAAGTAGTTCAGCTGTCCGCATAAAGCAGGGGATTCCCTAAAATACTACCAGCCTGAGTGGGCGCAGCAAAGCCTTCTGGGTAGTACTTTATTTGTTGCATCCTTCTTCGTAACAGTTACTTATGTGTCCTGTGTCAAAAAAAGGTTGAATATTCTTTCCATGGACTTTCGCAAATTGTTTGGTTGAGAAAAACATGAAGATGTACAGTTACATGCTTTAGTTATAGTCAGTTTACTTTTTGTTAATTTAATTTACAGTAGTTATGCTAGTGACAAACTGCATTCAGGTGAATTTCTTCAATTGAAAAAAAGTAATTCAGGTACAGCTTTTCTAGTGCACAAAATCGCTCGTATACCAACTAACCAATGAGAACGTAGAACAATGACGCCAGCCAGTAGCATTTGACTCTTTATCCCACAATTCTGACGTTTATATCTTGCAATTTGAGTTTACATCTAAAAAAAAGTCCATGTAAAAAGTTGAAATTGCAATGCATAAACTGAGGAAAAGACAAATTCTCTGTTTAATTCTTAGTTTACGCCTTGCATTTCTGACTTTTTTTTTAAACATCTCTCATGTACGAAAAACACACATTCATGAAATTAATATTTCATTCTCAAAATGGATTTTTTTTAGCATGCTGGGTGGATTTTGGCCACAAAAGGTGTTTTGCAGCAATCAACATTTAAAATTGTGCATGAAATGACTTTAGATTGCTGTAGACAAAATGCTTTATGTGTAAAGAAAAGCCTTAAAGTGTAACAGGATTTTGTCATAAATAAATATACAGCATTTCATGTTCTGATTCATCGGCACTTCACATCTCACGGCTTCAGGTCCTGTTGTCAGATATCTAAAATGTACGAAAGTCGTAATTGTGAAATGTACTATAATTATAATATGCTCAAATTCCCTGAAATAATTTCAGAATTCCGAGACTTTACTAAAAATTCCCAGAAATAATTTCAGAATTCTGAGACTTAACTCAAAATTCCCAGAAATAATTTCAGAATTCCGAGACTTAACTCAAAATTCCGAGAAATAATTTCAGAATTCCGAGACTTTACTAAAAATTCCCAGAAATAATTTCAGAATTCCGAGACTTAACTCAAATTTCCCAGAAATAATTTATGAATTCCGAGACTTTACTAATAATTCCCAGAAATATTTTCAGAATTCCGAGACTTAACTCAAAATTCCCAGAAATAATTTCAGAATTCCGAGACTTAACTCAAAATTCCCAGAGATAATTTCAGAATTCCGATACTTTACTAAAAATTCCCAGAAATAATTTCAGAATTCTGAGACTTTACTAAAAATTCACAGAAATAATTTCAGAATTCTGAGACTTTACTAAAAATTCCCAGAAATAATTTCAGAATTCCGAGACTTTACTAAAAATTCACAGAAATAATTTCAGAATTCCGAGACTTAACTAAAAATTCCCAGAAATAATTTCAGAATTCCGAGACTTTACTAAAAATTCCCAGAAATAATTTCAGAATTCCGAGACTTAACTCAAAATTCCCAGAGATAATTTCAGAATTCCGATACTTAACTAAAAAATTCCCAGAAATAATTTCAGAATTCCGAGACTTAACTCAAAATTCCCAGAAATAATTTCAGAATTCCGAGACTTTACTAAAAATTCCCAGAAATAATTTCAGAATTCCGAGACTTAACTTAAAATTCCCAGTAATAATTTCAGAATTCCGAGACTTAACTCAAAATTCCCAGTAATAATTTCAGAATTCCGAGACTTAACTCAAAATTCTGAGGAAAAACAAGAAAGAATGGCAAGATCTAAACTCAGAAATCAGAGGGAAAAAAGTCAAAATTGAGATGTTAACTCAAAAAGTCAGAATTGCAAGATTTAAACTCAGAATTCAGATTAAAAAAGAGAATTGTGAGATGTTAACTCATAATTACAAGATACTGTATGAACTTGAAATTGCGAGAAATAAATCAGCTGCTAAGTCAAAATTGCAACCGCAAAATATGATTTTTTTTTGAAAATCAGGCAGAAATGAGGTAACTTAGAAGGCAGCATAAATTTACCAATCTATACCAAGATGTTTGAACACTGACAGATGATGAGGGCAAGTAGAGACACACACAGAAGATTTCAGTCCTCAGATGGTTCAAGTCTGTAATCACCTTCACTCATCATGCCAAATTCAGAGGCCAATCCCTTCACACACACACACACACACACAAATTACAGAGCGCCTGTACTGAAACACAGGCTTTTAAGTTGGAAGTAAACACTTTCCCTTTGCCACTTTCCCAGAGAACATCCTGCACTGAATATTC